TAAGACACCAAAAGTCTATTCTTTTTTTTTTTAATATTAAATTTTATTTAGTTACTTTTCAAGTACATTTTTTTTAATCTATTTCTCCCATCCCACCCCACCCCCCTGCCCGGTCTCCCCCCTTCCTCCCATTCCCCCCCCCCAGTTCTCATCTCTGTGTCTTTCATACTTGTTCCTCAAAATCCCTACCCCTTTTTCCCCTTAAGTTCCCTTCTTTTATACACTCTCTCTCTCTCTCTCTCACACACACAAACACACACACACACGCCCGAGTTTTTTTTTTCCTGCCAACGTCAACTTAATAGTAAATGAAGAAATTCAAAGTATATATTTTGTAAAAAATTTAAATGGAAACATTTGGGTTATATTTGTAATTTATTCCAACATTTAAAAAGTAAAAGATCAGAAAACATTTCAATGAATTGGCTGTTAAAATACTTTGCCCATTTTTAAATTTTCTTTTGTTTTTAGGAGATGGGTTTTTTCTTAAAGGATTGTAAAAGAACTTTATATACTAGAGAAATCACTCCTTCTTCAGTCATTTGAGGCACAGATAATTTTCCAATTTTGTTGTTTGTCTTTTGGTTTTAATTTATTTTGCCAGACAGAGATGTTTTTATGTTCTCAGATTTATTAATTTTTTCTCATCACTGCTTACAAAGGCCTTGCCCATTTTAATGTAATATTCTTTTTCTCATATTCCATTTTTGTCTATAGTGATTTGACATGTAACCTTTACCACATTCTATTTTTCAGGCATTAGAACCATTTCTGAATTCTGTTCTGTTACACTGATACGTTTATTGTGCAAAAAGCACACCACCCAATAAACTACAGCTTGAAAATGAAGCTTACTATTTATTTAGTAGGATTTATTTTCCATATGCTTTTCCCTTCACTTTTTTTTTTAACTTTTCCTAATCATCCTCATTTGTGGAGTCAAACTACAACAGCAGAGTGTGATAAAAGTTACACTGACATTACATTAATTCTAGGAGAATGACATAGTTATGATATACAAAAATAAGGTAGACCTTTTCCAATTAAATGTAGAGAACTGCTTTTGCAATCATATTTCTTTGGTATTGGTTAACACACATACAGTAAAGGCCAACTGAAAAATTTGTATTTACTATCAGCAAAATAATTCTAAAAGTTCTTGTTTATTGATTTTAGAGAGAGGAAAGGAGGGGGAGAGAAATTCAATTTGTTGTTCTACTTATCCATGCATTCATCAGTTGCTTCTTGTATGTGCCCCTACTGGGGAATGAACACACAACCTCGGTGTATCAAGATGACGCTCTAACCAACTGAACTACCTGGCCAGCACATCAGCACAGTAATTTAAATCAGAAGGTAAAGTTCTTGGAAAACAGTGTGGCAGTTCCTCAAGAAGTTAAACACAGAGTATAGCACATCATCCAGCAATTCCAAGCCCAGGTTATATACCCAAGAGAACCGAAACATGTTCACACAAACACATGTACTATTCATGGTAGCACTATTCACAAGAGCCCGAGGTGGAAATAACCCGGTGTCCATGAACAAATGACCGGATACACACAATATGGTACATCCAAACAATGGAGTATTATTTAGTCATACAAAGAATGAAACACTGATGCATGCTACAACATGGGTGAACCTTGAAACACTGTAAGAAGTGAAAGAAGTCAGACACAAAAGGCCACATACTGTGTGATTCCACTTATAGGAATGTCCGAAACTGGCAATCCCCCAGTTATGGAATGGAGTTCGGCTGGGGAAAGGAGGGGAAAACTGGGAGACATGTGTTTCTTTTTTTTTTTTAAGATTTTATTTCTTTATCTTTAGAGAGGAAGAGAATGAGAAAAGGAGAGAAATATCAATGTACTGGTTGCCTCTCGTGAGTCCCCCGCTGGGAACTGGCCTGCAACCCAGGCATGTGCCCTGACTGGGAATCGAACCGCGATTGTCTGGTTCGCAGGCCCGCGCTCAATCCACTGAGCTACACCAGCCAGGGCAGAGACATGTGTTTCTTTTTGGGGCTCTGAATTAGATGCTGGTGATGGTTGTACAACATTATGAATATCCTAAAAATGAATGAATCTTGCGTGAATTTTATGTGAATTTTGTGAAACTGTAAAGCTTACGTGAATTTTATTTCAATAAAAACAACTGAAAACAAGCGAGCACACATCAAGTTAAAACTATAAAAACCCACTCACCATTTTCTGCGGCACTGATGCAAAATTAGGACACCCAAGCACTTCCTCTATGAAGCTGCTGTCACAGTTTTTCCCAACCCAAATATAAAAATCCTAAAAACAAACAAAAAAAATTAAAATACCTCCTTAATTAGAAGCCCACTATGGCTCATTTTCTCAAATTATGAAGCATAAGAGAGGTAAAATATACTATTTCAAATAAAGTAGGAACATAAATGTAAAAAGGAAATATAACTGGCACATTTACAATCTACATCCAGGAATCTACAGTGCTTCTTATCTTCTCTGCTTAGATTTCAAGACTTCCCATAAATTGTATTTTACCATCTCCTTTTCCCCCAATGGGAATATAATGTTTTAGCTGGGATAGCTGCCTCACAGTATTTCCCATCCACTGTTTTAATGACTGTCTCTATTATTTTTCACTGGCGTACTCCTGCTACGACTATTGGAGTCCTTTTCCTGCTGATAAGGCGTCATTTATGAAGCCACTGTGACCATTCTGACACCCCTCCCCACCACCCTGCCCAGTGACTTCCCTGAACTTCTAATCATTAATGGCATTTCTGACAATGGATGTAAGCTGAACTAGAGAAACTCGAGATCCATTAGAAGTTTATGATTCTAGAGCAGGGGTGTCACACTCATTTTCACTGGGGGCCACACCAGCCTTGCGGTTGCCTTCAAAGGACCAAATGCAGAGCTCCTTGCCCCTAGTTAAGGGGCACTTACACTTAAACAGTCCTAAGATTACAGTCGGCCCTTTGAAGGCGACCTCGAGGCTGATATGGCCCCCAGTGAAAAAGAGTCTGACACCCCTGTCTAGATGATAAAATCCTTAAAGACAGGAACTTTTCTCTTTATCAAGTATACATAATCTAGGACAGTAAATAATCCATGGTAACAAAATGTATTAATCTATGATGATAAAATAATATCCAACCAGAGAATCTAAATGAATTCACCCCTTGTGCCAGCTACCAATGTGCTGCCTCTCAGCTCCTAATCCACCCCTCACTGGCTGACCTGTGGACAGAGCTGGGCCCTGTGTGTGTTTCTCCTTTAGATGGAGCAGCGTTAGGCTTTGTCAGCGGAGGGTACTTACAGAGCCACAGTCCATAAGGAAAGCACCTTCCCTTGTCAGCTTCTCTGCAGACAGTTTTTGAAGAAGTGGCTGAGGTACGACCCTGTCATTAACGTGAATTGCACCCTGAAACAGACACAGAAGCAACGTGAACACGCTTACATTGCTGTCATCACAGTTTGGGAGCTAGTGGCCGCTAGCTCTTCATGAAATACTGAAAAGTAACACCTGAGAATTTTGTAGGATGCAAAAAATTATTGATAATACATTATGACCTTGCTATTGAATCAAGACACTCAGATGTATTCAAACTGGAAAGAAAAAACATGAATATGTAAAACAATCTGTCCATTACTTCTTTTTGGAATCTGGGTGTATTAAAAGTATGACTAATAAATCTGCTGTAAAGCAAGTTACTTTTTTACATTTCTCTATGAACATTACACTGAGCAGATTCCAAAAAAGTGAAGTTTTTTTTTTTTTTTTAATTTTATTTAGTTACTTTTCAAGTACATTTTTTTTCTCCTTCTTCCTAAATCCCTCCCCCTTTTTCCCCTTAAGTTCCCAAAAAAGTGAAGTTTTAATGCGAGGAGGAAAATGCACAGTACATAGGTACATGTTAAAAGCATGGCTGAACACCAGATCCAGTTTACAGTGTGATCAAAACTGCACTCTGACCACACCGGAAGCTGCCAGTATCTATAAAATAAAGATGAAATGTCCACTCTACCATGTGGCTTTGTAATAAATAGTATAAGCAAACCCACAAGGCAATTGATCCCCATATGAAACTATTTTTGCAAACTCTGTAACCACGGATAGGACGCTTGACAGTCCTAGTGTCCATATTTAATGTATTAACACCACAGGGAAAAGTGGGTTAAAAAACTGTTAATACACTGCTACCTTACCTACAGAATCAAGACATTGAAATACACTTAAATTTAAGAATTTCAAATGCACCAAAAGAAACTGTACCTCGTCTATCAATCTGTCTATCCTGTATAGGTTGGGGTGAACCATCTTCATTAGATGGACAAGTGGCTGACACTTGATCTGACACATGGCATACACACGGTCGTCCAGGCGTGTGCTCGTGCCGGTTCTGAAGGCTTTCTACATTAAAAAAACACACAAAAATTTCACGTAAAACAAATACAGTGGACAATCATTAAAACAAATAGACAACATTATCAGGGAAAAAGCATGGCCATCAAATCAGACCGACCTAGATTCAAGTCTCAGCTCTGACACTTAATAGACAGGTATGTGAGTGAGTGAGTGAGCTTCTCAAAGCTATACTGTCATCACAAAAAAACAAAACAAAAACGGGGAAAACAATACGCAGCTCTCTAGCTGTTGTAAGAGTTGATTAAGGTGATGTATATATGACACACATTATGGCCGGAGGCACGGAAAGCTGTTCAGTGAGTATGAATCCGCTCCCCAGTCTCTTCCCGGAAGCACATCCACCGTATGCTACAACCACCCCGTTATGCAAGCGGCTCCCGCATCTCAGAGAGTGAGGGCACAGGGTGTCACAACAGTCATCCTGTATTTGTACACCTATGTCTTCCACTCATCTTTGCCTGTTCTTCAAAACTTTTCCAATGCTAAATGGCATAATCCTCGAGTTAAATATATACTTTTAAATTTAGAAAACCTAGATTTCATATCTGTACCTATGTACCAAAATTTTATTATTTTTTAGATGTTCCCTTTATGGTTTGTCTCCTCAGTCATTGTCCGGGACTCTGAGAAGCTACACGAATATGCAGTCAGACTCAAGGCCTGGCGTTCTCTCCGACGTGGAAAGGGGTTGTGTATCGGTGAGAGCCCTGTGCTCCTCCCCTGTGGCGCCTGGACAGGGCCCAGGGACAGTGACCGCTTGGGGATATTCACACTGGGTATGTATCAAGGATTTTAAGACTTTATTAAATGTCACAGGGTATAGAGAGGTACCTGTTTGAGAAGGGCCAGAACATAGAGAGGAAACAATTTGAGGGAACCGGGTGCGATCAGCCCAGAGTGCTGTAAATTTGAGACCGTAGAGCCGTAAGCAGACAGCGAATCCACCACGGCATTCACTAAGGCATCTCTTGCATCTGACAGACTTGATGAAATGGATCGATCCACAGCTAGAGAGCAACCAAAAGAAAAAAGTATTTAACCATTAGATTCCAATCAATGCTGTCAGAGATAAGATTTACATTCATTATTTAAGAAACCATCAATTTCCATTCTGGGATAAAAAATACATTTCACCTGCATCCTCATTTTTAAAGTATCTTCTCATTACACAATTTTTCTGTCCTAAATCTGATAATCAGAATGAATCTAGATTGTTTCAGACTTTTTGTTTTAGTCTCTTTTATAAAAATACTTAACCACTATGAGTATTAGAAAACATGTACCATCCATCTACTTTTAAGAAGGCTCTGGGGATATTTCCATTACTCAAATAAAGTCACATGCATATTTTGTTTTCCTGGCCAAACAATGTTAAGTTTCAATAAAAAAAGAACTGAAAAGAATAAAGAACATAAGTTCTGCAGTCTCAGTTACCCCTGTGATCCTCCAACCTGTCTGTCAAAGCATCCCCAGCTCAACAAAGAAAGACCCCTGGACACAGGTCCCCATGCAGACATTGAAAAGCCAGTATTAGTGTGAAACTCCAAGTACATATTTTATTAACATACAAATAACCTACGCATATGCCTAAGTATTAAAAACGGTGTTCTATTCATGGGCAATAACCAGGTTCATTTCAGGTCTAAATTCAGCTAAAAGATAAATTCATTAAAAACAAAACATTCAGTGTTCTATTAATTTCCTGAAGGACTTTTTAAAACTAACATAGGATAAACTTTACATTCTCAAGTACAGCTGCATGGTGGTCACATGCAAAGCCATGTGCTCAGCACCACAATGAAGACACACAACAGAGCTGCCGCACCCAGTGTCTCCTTGCACTGCCCCTTTGCAGTGAAGTGCTCCCTTCCCCCAACCCTGATACTCACTGATCCACTCTTCATCCCTGTGATTATTTCCCTGCTAGAATGTCCTGTAAATGGAATCCTACGTAGGTAGTGTTTTGCTTCTTTCACTTAGCATAATACCCATGAGAGTCATCCACATCTGTTCATGTACCAACAATTTTTATTCTGAGTTGTATAGTCCATTGCATGAATGTATCACAGTGTATGCATACATTCACCAGCTGAACAACATCTGGGTTGTTACCAACTTTTAGTGATTATGAATCCCCCAGAAGATTTTTAACCCAAAGAAATAATGAGAAGTATAAGAACAGTCCAGCTCACACTGATGTAAACGAAAATGTAAAACATATGCTTTTTAAATAAGGGATTTCTAGGGTTAAAAAAATGCCCAAGCTTCAGTTTTCAGGATGGAAAAATGCCTTTCCCTCACTTTTTTACTCACCCATGTTTGCCAGAAGGCAGACGGCAGCTTGCACATCCACTCCCGCATACACATCTGCCAGTGAACTTACCACAGGCAAACAAAGTGTGTGCACTCTGATTCTCCGCTCACCTGAACAAAGTGATGGGACATTGCAAAACACATTAGATCAGAAAACAAAGAAGACACGTCAAAATATTAACCATGCTATTGTTTTGACGGGATTAAATCGCCAACAGGATATTGACATGCAAAAACAAAGTTCTGCAGTGAATATGTTTTAAAGAAAATTAAAATTCTCTAAACCTGAAGATAAACTTATACTAAGAACACATACTATATTTGCATATAGTTGAGTATTAGGTTTTGCTTTTATTTTAATATATACATTCTAAATTATATCCAGCATAGTAAAATGTCAGAAAACTCATTAAGACCATCAATTAATAAATGTAGGCCATTAAGTGCTAGGCTGAATTTTTATTTTATGGGACAAATGGCATTGTTGAATTTTAGCATGGATTGTTTACCAGATACACATGATCCTGGGAATACAACTCTTCTACAAGACATAATTTAAAGATTCAAAAAAGAACAGAACATATATTTGATTAACTGATGGAAATCCCATTACTTTCCACCGTATGTTCATCCCCTCTCCTCACTCTCCCAAGCATGTGAAAGGGGGGAAGAATTAATGCTGCCAGTTCTATTTCATTTCTCTTAATATTACCTTTGCTTGATGTATATAACAGGGCTGTCTGAAAGCACACTAAGGAAGTATCTGTCAAACTTTCTTCAATCGACAGCTGTACTGCAAATCCAGCATCAGGATTGATGTTGGCAAGGGATAACAAATCAGTGGAACGAACAAAGAAGTTTCCATGAAAAGTGTGCATTGAAAGACCTAGAGAAGAGAAAACTTGCTATAAAAGATGAAGTAATGGTAGTATCTTTATCTCAGGCTAAACCTGCCTTAAAAAGTTAAAAAAAAGTCTCTGATTTTGAGTCAAAAGGATAACTAGGGGGCAGCACTGAAGTGTTGGTAGAATTCAAAAACACCAATTCACAGAATTAATGTAGGTCTTACAGAAGACCTAGTGTACAAAATTTTAAAAGTGAGGGTCACTGTAAAACTCATTTAAGAATTAAAATAAGGGATCAGAATCCTTCCTGCAAACATTCACATAAAACCAAGGTAATGCAAGTTGAAGACTACGTGAATGATCATGAAGGGAAAGATCATGAATTTGACCATTTTCGCTTAAGATCATCCCTGTTTCTCTAGTTCTCCTTCTAAAATCACCCCAATGAGCTTTCTCGTAAGTTCTTTCTAACAAAGCAAAACATCACTTTTACCCACTTATTCAAATAACTTAAAAAATTGGGCAATGATTACTCAGTAACTATATATAAAAAACACGGTACAACTAACTGGGTCAAGCATGATAAAGTCTTTTATGATGAACAACCATTATAAGTAGTCATAACTAGTCAATATATACATGTTTATTAATTTAATAATAAAGCATAGCTTTTACAACTTCATACCTTTAGTACACCTTATTCTCATAACAGCTTCAAATCCAATTTTTCTTGTGAGATAACGTTTTAGTTCTTTTTGTAACTTTTCCGCTTGTGAAGGATTGTGAGTACAATGGAAAGATGGATAATAATAGATGCACCCTGCTGAATACTTGGACATGCAAGCTTTAAAGAGAAATATAAAAAGTATTAACTACAGAAACAATAACATCCTAATTGTCCAATAGTAGTATAGATTCTATATTATCAAGAAATCTGATTGAGCATGGGCCTGTGCAGCAGGCCGAGTCCCCAGCAGAGGACACATGAGAGACAACCACATTGTGATGTTTCTCTCTCACTCTTTCTCCTTCCCCTCTCTCTAAAAATAAATAAAATATTAAAAAAAAGAAATCTAAGTCATAATGAGAATATCAAAACTGTCAAAATAAGGATCATATATAAATCTGAGAAAACACAAATATTTGTAAAATGTAACATACATGTTTTATTGTTGAGCAGAATGGTAATCATATTTTAAAAACAAAATACTAACACCATTTGGTATTTGTATAGTGCTTTCAAGTTTACTGGTAATTTTCATAGATATCATCTATCTAATCCACATGTCTCTCCAAAATACTGAGAACTCTTATTGAAGAGTTTATATTTAATTTATAAGCTAAAACTGTTTATGTAAACAGATACACACAATGATATCTCCTTACCTAGAGAAGACAGATCAGAATACTGTGAACTCAAAAGGAACAGATCCACTGCAGTCTGCTGCCCCGAGCAATCTAAAGCGAGTTTCTTATAAAAATCAGTTGCAGGGCCAAGATGCTGTACAACCTAAGTCAACGGGTCATAATGTAAGAGCTAGAAACCTTAAATTATGCACATATTTCTATGTCTTTTTTACAACAAAGCAGAGGATATCCTTTCCCCACGCCCCCAGCAAACTAGAGTTTTTAACAAATGTCTCTGCAGTTGGCACAGATTTCCTGTGACACTAATAATTGCTAGCATTTATAAAGCATTTACATGCCAGCACTGCTCAAGATGGCTCATACAATTATTTAACTCTTATAATAACATATATTTCATGGGTTATCTACATTTTAGAGACGAGAAAACTGAAACAAAAAATGACTAAGTAATGTGACCAATTACATAGTTATTGAGTAGTAGATGCTGGAATATAAACCCAAGAAGTCTGGGCTGCAGATTGAGCACTGCTATTACACAGCGGTACATAACAACAAGACAGCATACTAGACTGAGGAAGGGTTTTCCTGTTGGTAGGAGGATTCGAGCTGAGATGGCACTGGAGAAAGAGGTAAAAGTGCCAGAGCCAGGCTCCAAGTTCTTAATTACTATGCTATACTGCTTAACCAAATGCTTCAATCCTCTCAGTCATATGTAGTGTATGGTTATAACACTCTGATATGAAGGAATATGTAAACCAGAACAGATATTTAAAGCTTTGCAAGGCTGGTGTGGCTCAGTGGGTTGAGCAGCAGCCTGGGAACTGAAAGATCGCCAGTTTGGTCTCCAGGCAGGGCACATGCCTGGGCTGCAGCACAGGTGTCTAGTTGGGGGCCACGTGAGAAGCAACTGAGAGATGTTTCCCTCCTTCTTTCGCCTTCCCTTCCCCTCTCTTTAAAAAAAATTATAAAGTTTTTGAGTCTTGGGAAGGTAGAGAATATTTCTGAAAGTTAAATGAGAAAAAATAAAACTGTATCAAATAATTCAGTAAATACCAAACACCCTATGTTCAAAATTAGGCTGCAATGGAACAATGAACTCAGTGTTTGCTACACCTGTTGGTGAGCTTAAAAAAAAACTCTTTACTTTGATTTATTTTAAAATTAGCTTCTTTCACAAAAGCAATTAAAAAACACAATTTGTTTAAAAAGTAAAATATGGGCCCTCCCAGGCAGCTCATTTGGTTAGAGCG